CATGTGTGATTTTATCTTCAAGTCTTTTTTCACTACTCTTAGAACTGTCGTAACTGAAACTCCCCTCTCACATGCCAAACGTCTTATGGATTGAGTTGGATCTTTTCTAATTGATCTCTTTAGCTCTAACTTGAAGTGAGGATCCCTCTTCCTGTTGTGACCCGTGATCTAGTTTTCCTCTCTACTATTCGTTCTTTTTTAAACTTATTAATCATTGTCTTGATGATTCTTGAATGTACTTTGAAGATGTAAGCAATAGTATGACTATCGGTGCCATTACTGAAAGTCGGAATAATCCTTTTCCTCTCACCATTGCTCAGTTGGGAAGACAGTGGGGCTGACTCAAAATGATTTTACCCTGTTCTTTTTCTAGCTGAATAACCAAAAGTAATAGAATTTTGATTTAGGCAAATCACTATACTAAGTCATCGAGCCTAGAATAATCCTCAACAGAATACAGAAAGCACTGGACGGCCGTTTCGTCTTATTTTAGGACTCATCAGCAGTGCGCATCCACTACCAATATACGAACCCGAACCGTTTCGGTACAACGGAAGCGTCACGCCAACTGTACCAACGGGCCTCGATGATAAAGAAGAAACTGAATAGACTTGATATAGCGCCGCTACTCGCAAATTCCGTGGTGATATTCATCCAAGTATGCATAAGCCAACGCATTGTGCCCCAAGAGCCACGTGTTTCCTTTCCCACGAACCGCTCCATCGCAGAACATTAGCTGGGTCAAGCAAGGATATACAAGTAATAGAATTTGGGGGATTTAGGCAAATCTTTATCGTAATTCATCGAGTCTAGAAAAATCCCCAACAGAATGGAGAAAGCACTGGACGGCCATTTCGTCCTATTTTAGGACTCATTAGCAGTGCGCATCCACTACCGAGATTCAAAATTGTTTGTATTATATATGGTTAAAAATTCTATTATAACAAAACAAAAAACAAGCATTTTATGATTAAACTTTGCACTCGTCAAAATATCCTCCTTTAATCTTGATTACTGCAGCTGAAATTTATGGCATTCATTGCAAAAGTTTCTTAAAGTTTGATAATTGATTGGACTCTAAGAGCTCTTTTTCAATTTTTTTGTTTTTTTGTTTTTTTCACTCTCCTGTCAAGTTCATTCTATGCTAATTCTGTGGGTGTCTTCAAACTTTTGAACTGTAGTGTTTATTTGCGCGGGTATGTGTGTCTGTGTGTATGTGTATTCCTTTTATAATGCACCTAGTATTGATGACTCAATAAAAACAGGAAATGTGCATAAAAAAAATCACCTCTTTAAATATCAGTGTGTAGCTGACTATATAATTAGAATTATTCAGAGTTTGGAATGAGAATATGTCAGCATACAGCGGTTAGTATCCGTAAGGAGCAATGAAATAATTTATATAGGTGCGTTAATACATCCGGATCTGCAATAGTTGAGTATCCCATTTCATATCTAAGAGTGTGCTGTGTCCTATTACCAAGACATGTTCTTACTTATGAATCTGGTAAATTCGGATTTTCACCTGGAAGTACTGGAAAGAATACTCATTATGTTTTACAGTCCTCCCTCTGTAAACAGAAGGAGTGGCTATTAGGTCTCATTGTAATTTGCTTGATTTGTATATGTATATATATTCGTATGTTATTAATATAAGTTTATATCATCTCTTTATTATTTTTCTCTATTGTACTTGCTGGGCATACTCCTTTTAGGCCCTCAACCGAGATTTGAACATTGAGGAGCGAAAACCAACCAGCTTTTGCGTTTTTTTTCTGTTTCTTTTTCAACATACCGCTCGTCTATGGTAACTATATTTTTTTCTTTTTCTACTTGCTATTTTTTTTTAATCATTTCATGCCAAGCAAGGCGTGAATGCTACTAGTACACAGGGGGTTAACGGGAGTGAAAGTGAGAGAAAAAAAACTGAGTATAGGGAGGATTGAGGCAAGGACAAAAGATGAACGGGATTCAAGAAGATAGAAGATGGCGATTGACGTTGCATTTAAGTTTTGTAAATCATTTCACCCCAAACAAGGCTGTAATGCTACTAGTACACAGGGGATTACAGAGAGTGAAAATGAGAGAAAAGACTGAGTATAGGGAGGATTGAGGAAAGGACAAAAGATGAACGGGATTCAAGAAGATAGAAGATGGCGATTGACGTTGCATTTAAATTTTGTGAATCATTTCACCCCAAACAAGGCTGTAATGCCACTAGTACGCAGGGGATTACAGAGTGGGAAAATGAGAGAAAAGACTGAGTATAGGGAGGATTGAGGAAAAGACAAAAGATGAACGGGATTCAAAATATAGAAGATAGCGATTGACATTGCATTTAAATTTTTGAAGGCTGTAGTTATCAGAGAAGCATGTAAACGGAAAGGAGTTCCACAGGCGGATAGTGCGAGAAATGAAACTGTTGGAGTAGATGTGGCGGTTGTATTTAACTATTTCAACAATAAAAGAGTATGAAAAAAAAAGCTCTTCAGGGCAGTTAACATTAAAATATTTGTAGAAAAGACCGAGAGACGCTACGTAACGCCGGTGAGAAAATGACTGAAATCGAGATGCCAAGTGTTGATTACATTACAGATTTTGTTTTTAAAATGCTTTTACGACGATGAGAAGAATTATATCAGTAAACGGTCGAAGTGAAGATGCGAAAGTTCTTCCTTATATTTATCAATAAATTCCTACCACAAATTTTAACTCTAACTGAAGCCTTTGATGTTATTGCCTCGGTTTGTAAATGGAAGTTTTGATTTAAGAAAAACACACAGTTTAAAAGGAAAAACACCGCATCAACTTTCCTTAAATTTTGATTATGATTGAAACAATTTCTACTGTCAGAGTGGGTGGGCGTACAATCGAATTTATTCAAAGGTTGCTACCGCTGACCCTGACCGAGAAGCTGGGGCATTTAAATCAGGAAGGTTTTCAGGCAAGTTTTAGCAGATAAGGATCTCTGTGGATGCGAAATGCGTCTGACAGAGCGTAAAGCCAAGCTTAGGCGTTGGCTACCATCATTCATCTTGTCCTTTCATGAATGTATACGAAGAAAAGTCTCTCGATTCTTGGCTGTGAGGTCAACATGTTTACAATAGCTGTTATGGTCATTTTGAGAATGTGTTCTCTTGAAGCAAGCTAATAGACAATATTTTATATCGAAATGTGACATCAAAATATTTTCAGTTTGCTGCTCGGATGTACGGGAATATCTTCTAAAATGATATGAATAATTTCAAACGCGCACTCTCTGTTTATTTACTATGCCTTTCAAATACTAAGCGAAGTAAGAAGAAATAAGAAAATTTTCTTCGAAACAAAGAAATGAGTGCTGATATACGATTTCATATAAATCTTTCTACACCCTTGTGTAAATTAACTGAAACAAAACGAATAATTCCGTTATAAATTAATTTTTTCCGTATTTTTCCAATGAAACATGACGCAGTACACATGTTAGTACTTCGTATGACCATTCCACGAAGTTGTTCCTTGCAGATTGACCACAGATTCTCAATTGAATTTAAATCAGGAAAGTTTTCGGACCAGCCTAGTTACTTTGATTTTCTCACTGGTAAGGCCTGCTAGTATGGTTGCACAGTATTACAATTTCCGTACGCTTCCTTGGAGTAACGTCAATCGTAGACAATGGTCGTAGGACAACTAATCGACAGTCAAGACAATAGTGTCTGGGCGTGATAAAAATCTGATGCAATCATGGATGAAGCAATATTTGTCAAGGCCAAACAAATTTCATCATACAGCCCGAAAATAGTTTCATAATACTTCACACTACTGCAAATGACCTAATCTGAGTAAAAACAGAAATCGATTACACCCTGTCACTCTAGTGGATCTAAAACTGACCGTGTGGCGAAAGAAAGGAAACTAAAGCGGTTGTTTCAGTTAATTTGCACAAGGGTGTATATGATAGCGAATGGAGGAGAATTTCATTACAGATGAAGAGGTAAATGAAGAAAACGAAATCTGATTCTACTGAAAGATGCTTTTCAAAAGCTAAGCAAAGCATTAAGAAAGAGGACAATTTCGTTAGAAACAAAGAAATTACTGCTGAACTATTATACAGAACCCTGTAAGGAGTGAAGTCCCTTTACAATAATAATGGTCAACTAGACTAACTCATTAACCACTACACCACTTCGAAGTACTCTAGTTATGGTTCGTTCTATTCATAATACAATTTACAAAATTTTCTTCAATGATTTAAATAAAAAAAATATATCTACAAAAAATGTGTCTCCCCCACCCACTAAACTCTCGATAAGCTTTTCTATTATCGGTGCTGAATGTGGAATTGGTGTGCCAAGTTCGAATCCCAGCCAAATCTGTTATGCTCACTTTCTCACTAATGCTTCCAATTAAAAGTTTTGTATTTAAAAAAAAAAAAAAATATTAAAAATTTAGTAAAGCTATTTAATCTTAGAAACTACTTCTTCGTTTCATAATTATAAGCAACACCCTTCAGGAATTCAATAGGATCAAATGATTCAACTTGCATTTTGACTTTTTTTTTTATTCGTTCGTCGTCATCTCTGTACTTTTTAGCTTTTTCTGTGGTAAATATCCAGCGGTCAACTTTTCGAGTTCTTTTTTAACTTTCCGTAAGGCATCAATAAATTTCCTTTCTTACTAATGCAGTTCTCCCCCAGAAATTTAGTACATTTCGGCGTAGCCAATTTTGCGTCGCTGATTCGGCGTCAGAAAAATAATTGGACTATTCGGAACAGCCGTTTAGGCGTCAGACTGTTCAACATGACTGTCTTTGAGCGGAGGCACCCCCCCCAAAAAAAAAGGCTAAAAGCATTGAAATCTCCCAACTTTCATTTTTTTTTTTACTTTTTGAGGAGTTGGATATAACGTCCCATTCCCGAGAAAAATATCTGCTCTCCGATTTCTCGAATATCCAGGCTGGTAGACGAAAGTAAATAAATATATTGTTTAATAAATAAGTGAATCGTATACTCAAATACGAGTAAGATAGATAGATAGATAGATAGATAGATAGATAGATAGATACGAATAGAATTAGATAGATAGATAGAAAGATACGAATAGAATGATAGATACGAATATAGATAGATAGATACGAATAGAGATAGATAGATAGATAGATAGATACGAATAGAATTAGATAGATATATACGAATAGAATTAGATAGATAGATCGATAGATACGAACAGAATGAGATAGGAAGATAGATACAAATAAAATGAGATAGATAGATAGGTAGGTAGGTAGATTTAAATAAAACCGTAAGGTCAATATTAATATTAAAAAAGCATTTTGAATTAGCTATTATTTAATAAAAAATATTTAAGCATACACACAAATACATCGAAACAGATTTTTTTCTTTCGTTTTTGGATCTGAAAGGCGAAACGCGTAATCAGATCTATTTTCAATTAAATATTTTTCCATTTGTCATATTTTTTTATATGTTTAAACATTTTTCGTTTTTTTTATGTTTTTTTACAAATTTGACAAATGAAAAGCGCTTCATTGAAAAAAGATTTGATTACACGTTTCCCCTTTCTAGGCTTCATCAGATCCAAAAATGAATGTGTGTGTGTGTGTGTTTAAAAATAATGAATCATAGCCATTTTCCCCTGAACCGGCGTTTCTCCTGATTAAAGAAGAAAGAAAAAGTGTGACTTTTAAAAAAGCCGTTAATGATTATTCTGAACCTTTTCTTTATAATTCTTACTTTATGTCGAAAGCTGTTAATATATATTTCCCCAGCTTTTTGTATCAAATTAAAGGTAAATCCTCAGAATGGCTTCAAAGCAAGAAATTCATTTAGCCTTTTTCTAAAATAAATCCTTCAGAATGGGTTGAATGTAAAAGATTTACCGTAATTTCTCGAAAATAATACGCACCCATAAATAATACGCCCCCCAACAAATTAAGAAATATATCTATCCCTATGTATAATACGCATCTATAAATTTTGTCAAAAAATAAATAATAATTACGAAGACATTTTGTCGACCTTGACATTTACAATAAACTCGAAATCAAGCGGTTAAAATAATGTTGAAAATTACCAGCGGTTTTCACGATAAATATAACATTTTATTTTACCGCGAAAATGTCGTCAAAACATGCAAATTACCGTGCAAATTTTAAATAAAAATTAATAGATTTTGCAAGAGAATGAAGAGGCCGAAGATAATTTTGAACAGGACGAAAATAATATTGTGAATGATAATTTGTTTAAAAAATTGTTAACTTGATATCCTCTTTTCTTCGAAATTTGCCTTTTTATAGATTTTTTTATTTTTTTGGCCAAATAAAAAAATGCGGTTACTGATAAACATAAATTTATTGATGAAAAATGTTAGAATTATTATTGTTGGATTTAAAATGAAAATTGGGATAATATCTTATTTTAAAACAACACGTACGTATTTATTATTCTAAATCAATAACGAAAAAAATATTTTTGTTTAAAACTATTTATAATTACACAACTCTACTATCACCTGTAATTTACAGCAAAAAAATACGTATTATTTTCGAGAAATTACAGTATATGTTTTTAGGTCTATCTATGTGTTTTTCCATGTCCATGTTTAAACGTCGGGATTCCATATTCTAATTTAAACACGTTTAAACGTAAAAATCGGCCATCTTTTTTTTTTTTTCCATTTTTTTATTTATTGAGCATCTAATCTTTTTTTTTTTTTTTTTTCCTATTCAGCTTTTCCTACATTTTAAAGTTTAAAGGCAGAAACATGCTAATGGCATTCTATCTAAATCGACAATATATGTCGTTAAACGCTTAAGACTTTTTCTGGTTGATTAGCGAGATGAGAGACGTGCTTATACGGTTTTATTTCTATACTACGATATCTAATGTTTAATTCTTTTAGCGGTGAGCGACAGACATTATTAACAACTGGTCTTCCTCGACAAGAAAAGAAAAGGACCATTGTCATGCTGTGAAAGCAACAAGCAAATTGAGTTCACAAAGGACATGTTTTCTTAATTTTTCATTGGCTTCCTGTCCCAAATACCTGACATGTCAAGCAATGAATACGCACAATAAAAATGGCTTCAATTTGGCACTAAACTGCTTGCCTCATTAAATGATTTATTTCTCGTGTGATACAGTTGCTTTGAAAAGAATATCTTCTGCAACTACATGCGCCTGGCGTACCTTCTCCAATAAATATTTATCCATGCACCCACGCAAATAGAAATATGGCAGAAGGCCAGGTTTAAAGTAGTTCCGTGTGTATGGTTTTAATTAAAAAAAAAAAATTGTTCAATTCCCTCGGTACATGCCTTTTGGGTTTCCTCGGACATTTTCAGAAATTAGGTCTGTAATTTGCTTGATTTGTATATATATATATATTCGTATGTTATAAATATAAGCTTATATCATCTCTTTATTATTTTTCTCTATTTTACTTGCTGGACATAACCCTTTTAGGCTCTCGATCGAGATCTGAACATTGAGGAGCGAAAACCAACAAGATTTTTCGTTTTTTTTTTCTGTTTCCTTTTCAATTTACCGTTCGTCTCCGGTAACTATATATTTTTTCCTTTTTCTACTTGCTATTTTTTTAATCATGTCACTAGTACGCAGGGGGCTTACAGAAAGTGAAGGTGAGAGAAAAGAAGAAGAATTGAGAAAAGGACAAATGATGAACGGGATTCAAGAAGATAAAAGATGGCGATTGAACATTGCATTTAAATTTTTGAAGATTGTAGTTATCAGGGAAGCGTGTAAACGAAAGGGAATTCCACAGGCGAAAAGTGCGAGAAAAGAAAATGTTGGAGTAGAAGTGGTGGTTGTATTCAGCTATTTCAACAGGGAAAAGGGTGGGACCTAAATGCCAATCTAGTAGCACACTTAAATTCTTGCAGTCGGGACACTAGGAAAAAAATTTAAAAAAAATCTCGTCAGAGCAATTACCATTAAAATATTTGTAGAAAAGACAGAGAGACGCCAAGTAACATCGGTGAGAAAATGGCTGAAGTCGAGATGCCAAGTGAGGGTCGATGACTTTGTGGTAGAATTGGAGATTGCGTCGCCTTATGATGACGGCTTCCTAGAATTGCAGTTGGTGCTTTGAATCATAAAAGGCCGAGGCAGGGGGGGGGGGTAAATATTTCGTCAGTATAGAGCAAATACCGTGTTTCACGTTCATAGCTAGTCTTTAAACAGATTAGGTTCATTGCAAATACTTCTTTTATTGTTTTCTCACTAGTATAAAAAATTATTAGGCGTTATTATACTTTCACATACCCATCCGCCATTTTTTCCCCGCGACAACGGATAAAGTTCCGTGGTAATTTGATGCCAGAAATTGAAAAAAAGCGAATCACGAAACATTTGAGCCCACATAAATTCCGCCAGTTATTCAGAAATCATCTCCCTGTTTGGTTGGACCCAATCATGGCCTTAAATTTAGCCTGGGAACGCTGGCACATTGCTTCAAGTCGATTCGTGTTGACGCCACTGTTGGGATCCACAATGTTCCGAGTGTGGTTGACAGAGTCATGGACGGTGGGTGCGAAAGTGAAATAGCACCGAAAAAATTTTTCCTATTATGGGACAATTATCTTTGATTTATTATTTAACTCACGTTCCATAATTTTTTATCAATACGTGATGACCCTCTACAAGACATGTATTTTAGACACTGCTTGAGGTCTACTCATAAAAATAAGGAATTTCTTTTAGGGAATAATTTTCATGGATTACCATTCATTGGCCCTGATTTAGGTTGTGAAACTTGTTAAAATCAAAAAATATTAATTCGCTGTCGTTTTCGAAGGACAATCATAATATCGATACAGTGTCAAATCGACCCCTAGCTTTTACAAAGCTATTGGCTTCAGGATAAGCCACGTAGCTGTTATTTAGCAATGTCTAGTTTGAAACTCTGCATATGTTTTAAACTTTTATGAATTTTTTAAAGCTAGTATTTTAAACCTTTTCCTGTATGGGATTTGTTTGAAAGCAGTTGCATAAACATTTTAGTTTCATAATTATTTATCGCAAAGTAAAAAATAAACCGATACATAATTTTATTAATTTACGTGATTTTTCTTTGCTTAACTCTTTGAGGTCTGCGTTCCTGAACAATTTTAACCTTTCTCCCTGAGCACCTGATTCAGAATTCGCAAATAATTGGTATGTAATGTTTCACGGTCGATATAAAATAGTTACAAAAATATAAACTGTTGTGGATTCCGAGATGAAATCCGATCTCAAATGAATGACAAACGCAGGAATGAAATATAGCAAATAAATGTATTGACGCAATAATAAAATTGGTAATACGGTTAGTAGATCCAGAAATGCGATTAGTAGCAAATATATATATATATATATATATATATATATATATTATAAATTGATTTATTTAAAATATTTTTTTTTTCGTTACACAGTTCTAACCATGAGAACACCGGATTATATATTTACTGTTCTTTCTTTTTATATATATATATATATATAGTCTGGGAAATTCAGTATCGAAGTAGGACTTCCTTTTGAGTCTACGTGCTCGCAACTGTGACTCCTACAAAGCGGTTACCTCACTCTATCAGTGTATCTCTCTTACTGTCTAACACCCGGGTATTCACCGGCAGTAGTACAAATACACACTGGTCGAGTCCACGTGTATGAAAAAGAGGTGGTCCCTATCACATAAACATTATACTTAACAGAGAGAGAGAGAGAGAGAGATAGTATGATTGCATGCCTTCACTTTGTCACTTTCTTTGTGTGCCAATCTACTTAAATAAGACAACCAATAGCAAAACACGACGCAAGTGTTTACCCAACGTTACACCCAGAGGCTGGGCATTAGAGTCATTTTTCTCTACCACCGGTAAAGCGCCAAGTGTTAAAAACGTATATATCCGTTTCTTCGTTATTTAAGAGAAATCTTTTTATGGCCCACCTTAAAAATAAGAGACTGTTTTCGTAGGCGAAACCGCTAAAGCCAATAACTCTGTAAAGATCGAAGATTGATTTAACACTGTATCGATATTATAACTAGAAGCCCGATTCTCTCTCGATAAGAAACCAATCTTTTTTTTATATATTCTGACATGTGTCAAGGCTTAAGGAAGGTCTGAAGAATGTTAGTCTACAAAATAGATTATCAAAAAAAATGTTCATATTTTCTAAAAGTGGACCACTGTATTTAAATAGTTCCGTATTTTTAATCTGATTAAATGAATTACAGTTCGTTTCAGTTAAGGATTTCCTACTCTGATGAAGTCTTTAGAGTTTAAAACAGATTCAGAAATACGTTAACGTTTTAATAAACTCAATTTTTCTTGCCTGATTTAATCCTGCACATTTATTAATCTACCGTCCACCTGTGCATTGAATATTGGTGACACATCTACTTGGTTACTTGATTTTGTTTAGCGGCATATCAACACCTCTATGGGTTAATTAATGCCGAAATGTAAATGTTTTGAACACAATTTTATAGCTTCAACTAAACATATTTTGAACGCAGTTGTATGCCTTCAACTACAGATAAAATGTATTGTTGGTCATTTTGCTATAAAATGTATTGTTGATAATTCTATTATAAAGTTTATTGCTTGCCATTTGCTTTAAAATTATATTGTTCGTCATTTTGTTATAAAAATTAATTGTTGATTATTTTGCTAAAGTGGATTGTTGGTTATTTTACTATAAAAATGTATTGTTGGTCATTTTATTATAAAAATGTATTGTTGGTCATTTTACTAAAAAAATGTATTGTTGGTCATTTTACTATAAAAATGTATTGTTGGTCATTTTACTATAAAAATGTATTTGTTGTCATTTTACTAGAAAAAATGCATTGTTGGTCATTTTACTATAAAATGTATTGTTGGTCATTTTATTATAAAAATGTATTGTTGATCATTTTACAATAAAAATGCATTGTTGATTATTTTACTATAAAATGTATTGTTGGTAATTCTACAATAAATAGGTATTGTTGATATTTTTTAATTAAAATTGTATTGCTGGTATTTTTACTATAAAAATATATTTTTGTACTTTCATAGTGTCTTGTTTTTGTTTGAGAGTTCACTATTTGCCCATAGCTGGGACCCTGACAGGTGCTACTACCCCGGGTCATGGCGGAACAGGGAAGAAAAGTAATTAATTCCGCGCTCCTTAAAACCTGCAATCCCCTGATTAGAGGCCTTGTTGTCGGATGTAGTTTATCGTCATACCTAGGACTATCCATATTTGGACTGGCGGTTCTGCTATATATCACTAGATTCAAGACAAAATCCCCCCCCCCAAAAAAAACGTCTGTAATGTTATCGGCCCTGGTCTGGCATCTCAACTTCAGTCATTTTCCGACCACCCTAGGGTGAAGGGGGCTTACTTACCTCTTTTTTTGTTGGTTTTTTTTTTGTTTTTGTTTTTGTTTTTTTCTTGAAAACTTTTCTTTGTACATCGACCGCATGAATTTAAGCTTATGACTAGAATCAAGTCTAGAGTTAACTCCAAGTTTAGGGTTAGCTGTCATCTTTCCTACATTCTCATCAATTTAGAGTTTAATTGGCTAGATGTAACCGTAAGTTCTATGCTGAGAGTTTCTTTTCTCACACTTCTCGCCTGTGGGACTCCCTGCTGCTTTCTTGATTTCCGGCTCGAGAAGGGAAACCAGCCGTATTAATATCCCTCCTAATGTCAAGAGGGATCAGCTGTACTAAGTCACCAACAGAAAGGATCATATTATAGAAACTTCCAACTTTTTTTTCTAACAGATCGTGGCATCTATCAGAGAGATGAAATTTAAATTTTTATTATTGCATTATTCCAAAATTTTAACACAATGGCGGATAGCTAATAATGTCAACAACTGAGCACAAATAGTTATTAATTATTCTGCTGTACACTGGTTCTTATTTTGTTTACCATAACCTGACAAAAAATAAATAATTAAGTGTC